GTAAAAACGCGGGTTACTCACGTGAATATACTGAGAAAAGCTCAACTAGTTTCGAACCACAGAGGGGTTCTTCCTTATGAGCAGCGTGCGCGGTCGCGGCGTCGTCGCGCTGCTCACTTACTTATTTTACTTAATTTAGTATGTCTCACGATAGTTATTATAAAAACAAGTGCTCCTTTATTTGGTAATTAGGAATAGGCATCATAACGACTTTTACTCTGGGATTCTGGGGATTCAAACCCAAAAATTCTTAAAGAACACGGACTACGATTAAAAAACTCTTTCGTGTTTTTTTTGTTTGCGGAATTAATTCTCGCCGCTTATAAGTTGCGATTTCAAATCAGTCGCAGAATAAAATTACTAGTAGCTGAATTGAATTTTTAGAATCAATGTTTGCTGTTAAGAAGCACAAGCTTTAGCAGTCTAGGCTTTACAATGGAACTCATTGGAACTCAACTCAAATGTCTGACTGCACCGTGGATATTATTTACTTTTTCCCTTCCAGAAATAAACATCGTGATGTTATGTCTATAATAAATAGACTACTACATGAAACTAATATCGTTTGTACTACGAACAATTATAATTATCGCATGCAACCAGTAATTGTATAATAAACGGCGCCACACTGTCGTTCAACAAGAAAAAGAACACGAAATTATACTATTAGTTTATTACGTACTAGCTTTTGAGCCTGTGGTTTCGCACGCGTAGAATTTAGAGAAAGTCCTGGTCCTGAAATCTTAACAACGTATTAAGAACTAAGAATATCGATAATTCGAAACCTAATAAAAGTTACTCATCATTCAATCCGAAGAACAAACCTGGAACCACTTCCTTAGTTGATTGCTAAGGACGCCCTGTACGAAAACTCGACCGACGAGACGGTCCAAGCACGAGCAATATTGCGAATAGCTATATTAACACACGTACACTAATATCACACGATATTACTGCCGAAATTCCAACGAACAATACTAATGAAAGCGTTCGCAATCTGATTCTAGGAAACATTAGGAAAATTCAAAATTCGGTAATGTAACACTACGATCATTTGCTGGGAAAATTCTACGAAACATTAGTTAGTAACTTTAGTAAGCACATTCATATACCACAAACGAAGTTTAGGGTAGAAGTGCTGAATTTAAATGTACTCAATTGAAAGGGATATTATGTCTACAGAAAATATGAACAAATTATGAGAGGAATGTTGTGAAAGAAAAGGAGTTGTCTGGAGATACTTAATGTAAAATTAAGACATAGGTACATATGTGAGGACCCATACTTACTTGGACAAACACAGGACGAAAAAGAAGACAAGCCAAAGATGGGATCATTAATGGCCTGATCATAAAAGCAACGAGGCAACCATTACATTAGGGAATAGACAAACCAAACGAACTATCGAAATGTGATACTATCAAATCCACATTCAGCGTCAATTCGATTTATATCGAATTAAATAACAACACTAGAAACCTCAACCAAACTTTACACGCTTGACGAATTCTGAATTCTCGAATGCGAGCAAATATTCACTGCAGCGACTTTATCCTAAACAATCCAGGCCTTCGTCAAACAACGACGGCCTAATTCCAGTTTTAGTTTGTTTTGTCCGAAGGCCAACTCAACAATTTTATAGGAAATAAAATGGCGCAACAAAGTGCCAGCTTTGATGTGTGATGTGATGTGGATCCGATGAAATGTTGTCGAAATCATCATAACAAATAACTGGTATTACTTTTTGTTGCCTTTCATTCTAAAACTAGAGGTGTAGATTTTTAAAGCATTCCACATTTCGTCACTTTTATCTGAGAGCTATTATTTCTAAAACGGAGTCTACGAATCTACTAGCAGTGAGAATTTAAACTGTCAAACACCAAGCGGTCACCGGTGACCGCAACCTATTGTTCTATAATTGTGTATACAAAACCGGTACTCGACGAGTTAAACATATCTACAAAAGAGCAATAAAACTTTGTCCTAATTAAGAATTAAAACTGACTCAGTTCATCGCCAGTGGTAATTTATTAACGAGGCAGTTAAACGATGATATTCATCTAAATATATCTCATGGGGATCGATACATCCCCACGTTTATCTATTCATCATTAACAAAAGCGCTATTAGGTCGACAATATTAACATTTCAGCACCACTCGGAAGTTCGGCCGAATTACGTTGCGGGATAGAATAATTTAATAAGGAAACTTGAAAAAACAATTGCCGACCGTCCTGTACTAGCCTGGCGTAATTTTCAGTTCCGTGTCGAATAAGTCAACTCATTGTACTGTACAATATAAAAAGTCTTGTATTTTTATGTGAAGAATTTATTTACGCATTTATAAAGATGTATTTTTATACGCTACTTCTTTCTTCACCACATTAGAACACAGACGCAAAAGCTCCAACAAAGTTCCTACAAGATCTAAATCCCTAAAACCTTGGCTATAGAATCCTGTGCAAATAGTAATACAATATTTACCGACAAATATGAACAGTCAAGTATTTATTTATTACGTACCGCTACTTTTGAAGTTGCCTAGCCGCCGGCGAATTTAATTTTTGCAAACCCGTTCACAAGGAACGTGTAGAACAGGGAAAATAAATAGCCTCCCTGTCTTGTATCATACTTAGGGGGTATGTTTATTTGCAGAGAACATTTTTTAACCTGCGGCGAAAAGAGATTGGGAAACAAAATTGTCGCACAAAGGAAACTTCAAGAGAGAGTAGCTTTAAAACTTTTGGGTGTTGAAAATATTTTTGCATTACCTTTCTCGCAAAAAGTAATTATAATTATTAACATTTCCACTTCTCGCCTCGCGGCGTACAAGAACATTATGCAGGTGGCATGTGTTAAAATCCAAGGAGTTTTTGTCAAATTTTCGTATATAAAAGGTTCAGTAAAATTACTCTTATTAACGTTACATCAGATTTATTATTCTGTTAGGGTTCTTTCACACAAGCATGTCAGTCACGTCATCGGTAAGTCGGCGATCAGTCACAATTTCAGGGACATGAACAAAGGTCCGTGTATATCGCTCAGCAATACATGTTTTGACTTGTCAATGACGGTGACGTGACATGACGTTTACTGAAACATGCCTGTTGTGTCATGGCCGACTTTGTCCCGTGTTATAGTTATTGCTTGCCATAAAATGTAAATGGTATTTTAAGTGAAATGGTGAAATTTTAAGTGTGGGAGAGCCATGGGCCGGCTCGACCGGAGTGATACCACGGCCTCACAGAAAACCGACGTGAAGCAACGCTTGCGTTGTATTTCGTCATATGAGGTTACCGGAGGCCCAATTACCCTCCCCTTCCCCAATCTCCCCAATCCCTGAATCCCCAACGATCCTCAAACTCCTAATACCCAAAATGCCGCTAACGCACTTGTAACACCTCTGGTATTCCAAGTGTCCATGGGCGACGCCGATTGCTTTCCATTAGGTGATCCGTCTGCTCGTTTATCGGCTAATGCCATAAAAAAAAATATATATAATACTGCTTTTCCAACTTAATGCGATCGCAAATAATATTTAAAAAACACTTTATTAAAGGAAGATTAGACCAAAAAGGTTCTGTTAGTTCATTAGGGCAAGGATCGATTTACAACAGTTATTTTTTAAAACAGATTCCCAAAAAATACGAATAATGAGCTATTTTGTTACAAACTTGTTTTTAAGAAATAATTACTTAACATAATTACAAAGTTCGAGTTACTTCGAAGATTCGACGTAGAAAAATATTGTTAACATAGCAAGTTGTTACTTCCCGAAAATTTACACAAACACGTGTGTTATACAAATAGTATTATCATACACATATTGGTAATCATGTTTAACCTTGAACTGTCCTTCGCTTGAATAAACTAACACCGTCGAGTACTTTGACGTCCTTATCTATAACATACTAATTTGGCACTTCACATAGTTTCGGAAATAGGAGTATTAGGATATATTTACAGATAATTTATGTTCAGTACTCACAGTAATAAAAGAAAAAACTACAAAGTAAGAATTGCGTGCTGTTCTCCAAAAATATTTACACCGAAACAATTTCATAAACGTAATATAAAATCACACCTTTTTATCCCCAAAGGGGTAGGCAGAGGTGTACATTATGCCACTGTAACACCCACTTTTCACTATTTATGTTATGAGTCCCATGTAATAGGGGGTGAGCCTATTGCCATACACCGGCCACAATTCCAGCCTCCTCATTAATTTGTATCATATTATATTTAATTTTATTTAGTTTCGTCACAAATAAATCAACAAGAACAATTGTGATGATGAAAATAAACATAATAAATGATACTCTCAGCGTAGATCCTAAACTAAAAAAAACATTAAATAGTTATGTGAAGGTAACCTGTCCGAATAGTACTGAAAAGATAATTAAGGCATTGGCTGCCAATAAAAAACTGTTGAAGGCAAATCCTCCGCTAATGTCGGTCACCAGTGACTGCCATGGCGTTTAACGTGTTAATATAAACTATAGTCGAATCGATCGAAGTCAATGTACGAACTTGACAGAAGCTTTGTCATAATTTAATCGAATGTCAGTGTCAATGTCAGACATTGATTTCTCAGTTCCATCGATTACACGTGTACACAATTTAGCCCAAAGCACATGATAGCAAACACAAGATCAAAACACGTAGATCGGCTTTCTTATTGAAACCTCTTCAATTCTTGATACACCATTCAAACGCTTGATGCAATTCCAATCTTAACCACACAATAACATAACATCACGCCTTATTTTCCCGAAGGGGTAGGCAGAGGTGCACATTAAGTGTGCAGGGGTAAGGAGTGTGAGTCCCATGTAATAGGAGGTGAGCCTATTGCCATATACCGGGCACAATTCCAGACTCCGTGCTACTACTGAGCACGATCGAACCCGAGACCCCTTGCCCTTAACATCATACGCTCAAATATCCTTTGTACCTGATCCGGCAATTCTTGAATGGATAAAGAACTACATACTAGCACTTACCCAAATTCCAACTCATCAGGCGTCAACATGACGATATCGTCGTCAATGGTCAGCTGACACTCAGTCTCAATCTCGTCGTACGGGAAAAATCTATTTGACAGTTTGTTCTCTTTGGTTCGTATCACTTTCAACGGCTTGTTTGTAACTGGCCATTCGGATGCTGCAACAAATTACTTTATTAAAATTCCAAAATTAAAATATGGCAAAGAAGATTTTTTTTAAGGTGAGAAAATCATCGAATGACTGCTCCCGCCTGGGTGATGCGAGAGGGAGTGTCACTCTTACTGACTAAAAACCACCCCGTTCCTTCTCCTGCACGTCGAGCCGGAGCCCCGGTTACCCGTTAGGTTCTCCGCGACATGGCAAAGAAGATAGTGAAGCTTCTCTTCAATCCATCAAGACTAATGCACGGCATATTATGTGCATCGTTAGAGGAACATTCGCTTTTAACACTTAACTACCGACGCGACAGTCGAAGACCTAAGGTGCTGCTTATTAAGAATTAAAATGACCGAACGCAACCCTTTTGCTCAATAACCATATTTGTTGACCCAGACGTTCTATACGACCTGCGAGCAAGTCCATAATTTATAAGTAATCCTTCATGTATTTATGGTATGGCATCCCTCGTCTCTTTTATTTCGGGGTTCGATAGGTCGATATATTCAATGTAACACCCATTTTTTGGGCATGGATACACTGTTTCATCAATTTCGAAACTTAGTAGGACCCGCACTTGTGAATACTTTACTTATTTGTATTACCTAGGTCGTACATCTTTGAACCCTTTTCTGCTAGATAGCTATCTTGTTTACAACGTCTAAAATAATAGTAAAATGAAACAATTAGGAGGGTAAAGTTCAACAACTTGCTATCTCACAAGAATATGAACCTTATGAACTTTTCGCAACAGGGGGGCATGACGTACATCATGCGCTTACGTGTAATTTTTACAACAACGCTCAATTTTGCGTGGATGAAAACTACAGTGCAATGACCGCATCGCGTCTGGCTTAAGATTATTATGATAACCTTCATCAACGTGGATCTTCTTTGCATATCATATATGTAATGCTACACCTGGTTATATACCATCACATAAACTAACACTTAATCTGTCAAGATTAAGCTCAGACGTACTCATAAGTCTGAGAGGTAAACTCTCTGCAACATAGAGTAAAAATTGGAGATCCCTATTTAGCAACGAGAAGTAATTCGTGGATGCTAGATTCCCAAAATCACCTAGAGGATGAAACATTAACCCATCGTGTGTTTAAGCGTGGATCAACGCCAGACACTATGTATTTTCTACCTCTATTTTGTTTTATATACAGGCATTCAAGCGGTTAAAACATCGAACCAATCAAAATACAAATTATAAACGGCATATACGATCAACTTAAAGACTGTTTGTTCCCCAACCCCATTTGCGAGCACTCGTAGTTCAGTATGTCCGGCAAGCAGTAATAAAAAAGATATATCAAAGTGTATAGCAATGATTTGTGGAGAAAGCTGGTCATGTACAGACGCCATAAGTCTCGCTGCTTGATCACTACGTTTACTACGGTTACGAACCTCTCCGGCGCAAATATAAATCGCTTCCGATTTATTTCTTACATCGTAAGCCTTGGACATGATTAGTTGTTGTTTTCTTAGCTATTTGAAACTGATAATAGTTTATGTCCTTTAAAGAGAACCTTGAATACTAAATTAACCTCTCGCGTGTTTCTCGTACACTCGAGTGTACGAGAGATTTGAGTGCCCATCGCGCAATTGTACACACGGGTGTACGAGAAACGCGCACCGATTGGATATTTTTTCTGTGACGTATATTTTCAAGTTTGCAGCCCGTTCTGTAGTCAGAACAGAATAGTTAATTCGCGTTTCTATTAAAATATTAACTCGTCGAGTACCGGTTTTGTAGACACAATTATAGAACAATAGGTTGCGGTCACCGGTGACCGCTTGGTGTTTGACAGTTTAACCCGTGTGTACGAGAACGCGCGTTTACCCGTGTGTAGATACGAGAGACGCGCGAGAGGATTCGAAACCCAGTAAGAAACTTGTTGACTTTATTAGTGTGTTTTGGCGGCGGCAGCACTGATATATTTAGGAAAAAATTGTGAAATTATCTGGACTTGTCATTTTCATTATGACACTGAAGCCAATCCACGTTAAGCAAGTGTGTGATCTCCGTATGATAAGAGACCTTTGATCATTAAGGTTATTATGGATAAAATATAATTTAGCATAATTTTGAATACCATTAGTGGGAGGAAATGAGAATGATAAGCCTAAAGCTGTTAATAATATTGGCATACCTGTGTAGCAACTGGGATATTGCCAAATTAGGAATACTAACTATAAAATAGTGTAGTTGGCCTCGTTATTCGATTCCTGATACAGGCGATTACAAATTAATATCGATTTTAGATTATAATTTGTCAATTATAAAAACTGAAACTTTACACGCGGTCATGGCCGCTAGAATTCTTATGGATATAGTTAAAAAGGGCTATTTAAAAAAACAGCCATGCCATAGTCCCATCACTAAAGAATACATAAACAATACTAGAATGTGCTGGTTATTCCACGGCGCACGGGTTCAAATCAAGACAGGCGATAATTTATTACATCATCGCAGCTATAAAACAGAGAAAGAAGCCATTGTTAGGGAAACTGGGCTTTAGAACCAAAAGTATATGGTATGTGATATTGATTAATTCATAGTGGAAGAAGGTGATAAAGGCTTTCAGGCACGTAAAGGAACATGAACAGAGGGAATCATAACATTCTACTAAGTATGTCAAGAAAAAAAAAGTAAAATAAACGAAGTATATTTTAAATCTGCTCACTATTAACAGCCAGACATTAAATAATGCAGAATGAATATCTTATAACTAACGTAATATAAATCCAAATTACGAAAAGATTAAGTTCAAACTCAATTGCACACGTCAGGCTAAAGATTCTCCTGAAACAGTGTAGATTAAAATGATTTTTATCAGATAGAAAATAGAGTTGATAGTTAACTGTGTCAATACTTTGATACGTTGCATGCGTATTGATATCTGGTTTATCTAGTGATTCGCACGTGTACATATTCAATGAGTTTTTACGATACTCTGTATAACTAATTCAACAGTGGTAGGTGTTTCTATGGAATTTAATTTGAATATATAGTAAAGGTGAACCCTGGAGGGAATTGTTTCTTTTATATTTTTATGCCAAGTCCCTTGAGAGGAGAGTATAAAAAACTTAATAAAGGCGAGATTTTACAAGCGTCCCTTTTACCTAAGGGATTGCTGTTAAGGGATCGGTAGTTTCAGAAGCATATACACAAGCATACCTTTGCACTATCTTAAACATAACATCACGCCCTATTTTACCCTGATGGGTACCTCGATAGATGAATGTACATATAGGTGTAGTATGTATGTAGGCTACCTACAGCCTCTTTTGTCGTAGCGAGCCCGTTACAAGGGCCTTTTATGAATTAAGACTTGATTTTAGTGACGAGAAACGGTTTAATAATAAAGTGGATGTCGATGATAATGGGATTCTAGACCTTAATAAGACCTAGGTTTGTCAATTGGTAGTCAAATGCCGTTTTACTACTTCAATTCTTTAGATTTTTCCAGCAAGTAAATCACTCTGTACAAAATTATACACCAATGAACAAAAATTTTTCTTAATTACCTACTATTATTAGAATGTGTTCTTCTTATTTAAACTTTGGACGAAAATCAAAGACATATACAGAACAAACTACTTCCAAATTCCCAAGTCAACAAAAATACAATGATTTTATCGTACACATGGCTGTAAAAATTCCCAAGGGATTGTCCTGAACTAATTAAAGAGAAAAGACACGTCCCAACTCCTAAGGTATAACTATGGATAGTTGGGAACTTCGAAGAGGGTCATTTAACCGTACTATTAAGGGTTAGCACTCGGTTAACGGACCACTTAATAAATCTACTAGGCTGGGGACCTATGAATTAAAAGCCGGTGACCTCTAAAGATAATTAACAGGGGTAGCTGAAAATTTTATTGTCATATTCCAGGCAATTCGAAGAAAAGGTATTATTATTGGAGTTGTAAACATCTGTTTGACAACCCTGAATGATTTGCTCACCGCGAACCCTCATTGCGGCTTCGTTGATTACACACGTCAACAATTTCGAACTAGTACGTTAAGTTTTACTTTCCTTTACGATATTTTCACATGACATAATATACAAGGACTATTTTTAACATCATAAAACAACTGATTAAGGACTAAGGACTGTCTCGTTGGCCGAATGGTCGCAAGTGCGACTGCCCGGGCAAGGGGTCTCGGGTTCGATTCCCGGGTCGGCCAAAGTATTATTAGGTTTTAAAAAAAATGTCAGTAGTAGCACGGAGTCTGGAATTGTGCCCGGTATATGGCAATAGGCTCACCTATTACATGAGACTCATAGTCATAACATAAATAGTGAAAAGTAGGTGTTACATTGTACAGTGGCATAATATGCACCTCTGCCTACCCCTTCGGGGATAAAAGGCGTGATGTTATGTTAAAACAACTGATATGTATTGATCGATTAAGCTGCTCCTGCTGTAGGGCTTAACTGATACATATTTTAACACAGTTCGTTTGAAAAATACGTCAAATTATCCATAAGTTGCACTGGCATGTATTTAATTCGTCAGACATTGTGAAACCGACCCTTAAGATATTTCACATCTACGTTAATCCAAACATTGATCAAATCGAAAATTTAAACCAATACTTTTAACTTGAACCATGATAATAATACAAAAAGTGGTTAAAAATAAACTTCACAACAGCTAGATCAACGACGCAAAGCTAATTAGGTATACGGTGTTTTTTCAAACGTTTATGATTAGCGATGAAATGGTAATGTATTCCAATCAACTTGCAAAGTATATGCTGATACGAAATCAAAATGCAAAATTAAAGAAAAACCTCATACAATTTACGGCTTGATTTAATGTAAGTACACATGAATATAACACGTATATTTATGTAAACTAGACCCAAGATTGCATGATTATAAAATTACGACATAACTGCGCAATTAAATAAGGGTTAAAAATGTTGAACAATTAACGTCGCATGAAACAATTAAGGTATAATGCTTTTTTGGTTTGTTTGAGAACTGTTCGCAGTGTTATTTACAACAGAAAATATTTCCGTTTATTGCAATAGAGTTTAAAAGTAAAATAGCAACAAAATAAATCCATTCTCAGTATTAAAACCCTTAAAAAATTTTACTTGATTCCATTGTCTACTTATTTAGAAAAAAAAAACATTAAAAGATTGAACAGAAGTAAACTAAAAAATACAATAAAACATTAAATAGAAGTACCTAAACTAAAGAACCATCAAGGACAGTTAATGCACTTCCTAATGAGATAAAAGGGCAAGTCGCTATAAGGAAGGTGGACCCTAACCATAAGAGAATCGAATGAAAAAATATTCTGAGTATACCCAGTAACATCGACGCGGGTCGATAAAACATTGAAAGGATACTGACATATCGATATGATTGGACGATTTAAATAAATAAATTGGCAGTCTATCACATTATGCAAAAACAGAAGTAGTATGATTGTGCCCAACTTTGCCCTATCAGTAAAACATAACTGACTAAATAGAGCACCCTTTTTATGTAGGCTAAGTACTACATATCAACTAGATAAACCTCTACCTTTGTCTTCTTGAGAGAAACAGGCATAATTTTACGTAATGAAACAGACAGACTACACGCGCAGATCGCGGTCGACAAAGCCAAGTGATCTACAATGCCAGAGGCATGTCTTATCTTGCCCTGTCATTCCAGAAACAAGACTTAAATGTTTCTTACAATTGTAATAGCTTCATTATCATTCTAACCGGAACATAATAACGTCTATTTCGGTGTTTTACGGGATAATAAAACCCTGACGCGAAAATGTACCACACAATATGGCATGTGACAGTAGCAAATATCGTATACAACTTCATGGACAAGGCTGACTTCAACACCGATATCGCGTGAGCCCCACAAATATCATTATAAAACTACAACAATAAAACATAGAATTACTTTGTTACGAATAACACCTAAAAACTCTGAATGGCACCGTAAACAAAAGTCATAAACTTAAAACGGAGTTAAATGAAGTAAATCACGCTCCCCGTTCGAAGGGAACAATGAACAAACAAAATGTTATAGCCGTTGTGACTATAGTACTAATTTAGGACTCAGAAATTCGGTTCATCTACGTCTACTTTATTCTTTTTCTCTAATCCAGTCTGAGCCATTCTCAGAAAAAAAAATAATCAAGAGCTCTTTCGAAACGCGTGGCTCGAGCAAAAAGGATCCGTTCGTCAGTCATAGGGATTCATTCTGAGACATCATACAATATGTAGTAGTTTCATCAAAACGACAGTTTTGGGGCCAAGAATAAGTATTAAAGGAAAACGAGAATTTAAGGAAAAAATTACAATACAGAAACTTATCCTATACATGTATGTGGATCACATTCAGAATGACAATGGACGACATGGGTCGTTCTACAGTTACATAGAATTTAATAGATGTACTTACAAGGAGGCGGCGCCTTTTTCTGATTATTCCAAACGACTAGTATCTTGGCTAGGCTCGGTGTCCGCACCAGTTTGGACACCAGGGCGAACAGGCTGTCTACCCGGTCGTACGTTAGTATGACCGCGGTGAAGCCAGCCGCTTTGGACGCGGTCACCGGCAAGAAGAGTGGATTCACTGGACCGTACTGCATCAAAAAAAACATAAATTAATTCGATAAGAAAACACATCAAATCACTTAAGTATGTTAAAGAATACAAAAAACCGAACAGAAACCAGAACGATCAATAAAACGGATTCACATAGAAATTACTTATACATTACAACATCGTACTGACTCCTAATTTCACACTCGATCTCCCTGTACCATCTGGTTGTATCCCTGAAAAGGATCGAATATACGAGGGACTGCTAATACAATTATTTATTTATAACAAAGAACCATTATGAAGATACATGTATGTATACAGTAGACAGAATCGTACTATCACACATGTCCAATCTGCAATAAGTACTGGATAAAAGCTCGCCTTTTCCCATTACACGAGACTAATTTGAAATTTAGCTCCATACAGGCTATTTCACTTCCGACATTTCAGTGCTCGCTTGAAAATGGAAAATTCATAGCGATTTTTAATCGCAGCCTACGTCAAACTGAAAGTAAGGAACTGCGTACGAAATGGGACCGGTGTACGGACCTGAATAAAAACTAGGAAATTGCGCTGTCGCTCACTGCAGGCGATAGCTAGCCAGTGATGGCTAATAATATGTGCTATATGTGAGGCCCCTGGGAGTGTACCACCTAACTATAGATAGGTACATATTACGTGAATGTGCGGCCGACTCAATACAGGATCGTAGGGGATAAAGGAGCTTAGTATACGACATACAAACGACAACGTCCCTGAACTAACTCGCTGTGTCTCATGGTATCTATTGCCAATATTGTAAAGAGGATTGTGAGTTTGTTTATATGATGTTTATCTTGAGCCTCTTGGGACTAAATGACTTGAACGAAGATCGATCGTTGAGTCTTGAAAATGTAATAGTTCTTCACACGTTCACTTAAAGTTTGCCGTGTACCTCAGGGAGTTAAATAATGGTCTAACGCAAATATGAGCCGAATATTTGCATACATCGAATCAAATATTTGAGTTCTACTGTGGGTGTGCTTTCAACGTTAAAAAGTAATACCAGTTGTCAAGTTCAATTTTAATTCATACACGTTATTTATGAAAAGGTAAATTCGTAGCGTGCCTCCCAGCATTTCTGTTTCAGAGTATAATTAATTGTTGCTAACAATACAGAAGACAATAGGCATTTCAACGCTTATTACGTTCGTTTGCAAAATAAGCTTCGTCTCGTTAAGGATTTTTCCTTATTCGAGTATTCGTCATTGCGATAAAAGCTCGAATCTCGGTGTCTCCTCAGCTACGTTACATTATTCAGGAAACGAGTCGCAAAGTTTTAAAACAAGCAAAAAGCTATTTGGAAAATTAAAAGAACGCGGTTTTTTTCCAACGGAGGGTTCCTCTCAAGATAAAGGTGAGCATTTATTTAGACACATCGATGTACGTCGGCTCTTTGACTGATTTCCGATACGTGACGTAGACTCAAGAAGCACGAGGAGGGCATCAAGGGTATGTCGTACCTTTTGACCCAATTTATTGGGGACATTTTTTATTTGCTTACAAAAACACACGGACAAAAACTTGGAAAATATGTTAAGGGAACCCTTTTTTTTCGCAAGTCGCCAATTTCATCAGATGGGAATATTATGCAAAAGAAATCCTTTGGAATAACATTCAATGGTGTTGAATCATAGAAAATCGTGACATCCCGCGGAAGTGGACACATCTGGTACCGCTACAGGCTACAGTTCAGATGTAGATTGTGCGCATGTTTTATTAAAACATTGCCATATGAGTTCGAACATGACAATATTACTTATTGCTCCATTTTCTGATTCAACTTATACATTTTCCATTGCTTTTTTCTATCTCCATAAAGAATGTTTGAAGGCAAATAACTTTGTGTATCGGAGAGCTCATTCTTATTCAGAATCAAATCGCTTGCCTTTTTCGTGGACCGCTAAGCACATACGAACTCGAAACCAAATATCGGTGGGTCATGCACATATTTGTTCCAATGTATTGTACACATTATTATGACCACCAAGTAGTCAATTTTATTGCAGGTTATCTTTGCACTAAATCTCAAAGCAGATACATAGAGTAGATAACTAATACATAGTTATAATAAAAACTTATAATTGATTCTTTTGCACACCTGCACCCTAAATAGTGATGGCGATAGCGTGAGAATCCGTTATTTTATAGTTACCAGCGCCAGTTTATTTAAATATGCAAAAGCAATTTTTTACTTAGATACGAAACCTCTTTTCTAAAACCAATAAAAGATGGAGTAGCTAAGAGAAAAATGTGTAGTCGAGAGACATTTCTAAATTGTTGTACGGGTGTTCGAACTGGAAAACTACAAAATAAACAAAAAGTGAAGCCCATTTAAAAGAAAAAACTTAAACTGGTGTTCGGTTAGCAACAGCGATTCAACTAAGCACTCGTATTTATCGATTCATCTTCAATAACTCATGTTCAATAATTCTCTTTGTATACATATTCCTAGCTATAGCATGCTACTTAACCAGCTTTTACGAGCGGTTTCGGTCTAACTCGTAAAATTTAATCAAGTTTCAAACAAGCCTGATATGAAATCTAGGTCGGAAACTGTATCTGCAGCTTGAAATTTATAGCTCTTATGTTCCAATGCTCATACTCCACTCAATATTAAGGTGATCTTAAGTTGTATCTTCGCTACAATAAAGTTAACGTTATAGAGACAGCCAACTCATACGCAACATAGCTTCGAATAAGTTAAAGTATTCGGACGTAAATGTCATTCAAAAAGTACTAATTCAACGTAAAACACGACAGAAACGACATTTTCCAGAAGAGAAACGTCTCTGGTACTTTTATTCGGTCATTTTAACAAAATGGCGAATTAACAAAGGCAACCTAATTCCCCTAATTGTTCGTCATTTCTTCCACCAAAAACATAATAAATGGAAACACCATAATTACGTTACTTCTGACGTAATTGGCCTTAATTTGCAGTTTGAAAATGTTGAATAACACATTCCAACGACGAATATAACACAATTTAGCTGCTACGCTTTTAAACAATTGCTTCTGCTATACGTTAATGTAAAAAGCAATTAAACAACTTCTCCCGCTAAAAGTTAACAGTCCACTAAAAATTTATCCGCACAAACTAGGGTTGGCAACGGTTGCCCGGCTTCGAACTTTCGACCAGTGTTCGTTCTGTGATTTGCCCTTATCCGGTTTTCCAGACACAGTCACATGAAATTTCCGGAGTTTTCGTTTCATGGAATGTATCCCTTTCGAATGCCCATGTTAATGCCAGTAAATACTAGTGTCTACGGAATTTCAACTTCCGTATTAAACAGTCAGTTCAACTTTATCTTTAAAAGTAAACAAATTAAGGGGTTAGTCGTTATTACTGATTATGAGTGTTCAAAGTTGTTCCATACAGAGCGCTCACTAGCTCATAAAAACTTGCAATTTAAATTCTGTATTGCTAACAACAATAAAAAGGAGGAAACATAAACAGTTCGTCCTCGCCGTAAACCTAAGAACATGCATTGACCCGATAATTAATACTGTGATCTGATCATCAGAAACTGGTTTTAACGGGGCCTACAACTGATACCTGCATTTAACCTCCATAGAGATCGCGATCAAATAGGTAGGCACAGAAGGACCAGTTGACATGCACGTAAACATTACAAATAGATGCATAAATGATTTTTGAATAAAAGTTTCATAACTTTTGAGTTTCAAACCTATAAAAATATTATTAAGGATATACGATAAAGTACTGTTTACATTAGTACTCAAATGAGAATAAATAAATAAGTGTGGGAGAGACATGCTTCGGCACGAATGGGCCGACTCGACCGGAGTGATACCACAGCCTCACAGAAAGCCAACGTGAAACAACGCTTGCGTTGTGTTTCGTCGTGTGAGTGAGGTTACCGCGAAACGAGAATACTGTCTAACTAATCACGTGTATATGGCTAAAAAACCAGGCAGTTATAAATATCTAACTTATCCTTGAAATAAAATTAATTATAGAAACCTCGAAAATGAAAATAGATGAATATGTATGTATTTCTTTTCCATATCTTTGATTGTTTATCCGGTGTTAACGAGTTTTATAAGGTCACGCAAACCAGATTTGAAACGGATTTCAAAGACGGAGATGATCTTGCGAAAGGAGCATTCTACTAACCGAGAAGGATATGCAATTACGCATATGCAATACCTACACTTGGATATAAAATGTTCAACTTACCTTTATGAACCCAAGTCAATACAAATTTTAGAAGGTAACAAAGATATTCTAATTCCTAATGCAGGAATATCCGAGGAAGCTCTACACCAAAAACTTGCAGACAAATTGGATGTGAAAGTCGACAGTGCGCTATGAATCACAGTGAAGTTTGTAGACTGGTTAACGAACAACATGAGACAAGACGAAAATCTAGCACCAAATTGACAAAAAACTTTGTCTTGTATGGATTTCTTTAAAAATTTTATAACCTAAAAACGCAATAAGGCCATAGTTCTGGACCTAATGTGATTTCTAGCAAGAGTAGCAAGTTATGCCTGCCTCGTTGGCCGAGTGGTCGTAAGTGCGACTGCCGGGCAAGGGGTCTCGGGTTCGATTCCCGGATCGGGCAAAGTATTACTGGGTTTTTTAATATTCTCAGTAGTAGCACGGAGCCTGGAGTTGTGACCGGTATATGGCAATAGGCTCACCACCTATGTGGGGAATAACATAAATAGTGAAAAGTGGGTGTTACTTTATACAGTGGTATAATGTGCACCTCTGCCTACCCCTTCGAGGATAAAAGGCGTGATGTTATGTTAGTAGCAAGTTATTTGAAATTCTCAGTGCAAGAATAAACCGCAATAGGTGCTCCGCGTACTTCCCTACAGAATAATTTTTCCGACTTCTTTGTCCCGCGGCTCGACTGCACTGTGTACGAAATAATAATTATTTAATTCAGAAGCTTTCACAGCGCTAAAAGTAGCATGCACCAAACACGATTTGCTTTATTCATGTGAAATATTAACGGCTTTATTTAGCTTCGAGTAAGTTAAAAGAAATTTTAATTGAAGTGAGATTAAAGCTGTCCGGGACACACACTATGCAAATTAGTTGACGCTTGACCTTTTTCAAGGACTGAAAAGTACGAATAAAAGGTATACTGTAAAAGCAAATATTGAATATTCATGTACTTGACTAGATTCGCTACGGCACGGAGGCAGGATTGCCCCATTTTCGAGTGTTGCATTTTCATAACTTTTTTTTAATATCTTGATTATTGTCCTGGGAAGGGGAATTTTAATTTTGTACTCAATGTATATTCAGTGTATAATTCTGGCATACATTATACCAAATTCGCATAATCATAAAATCTAGAGAATCCAATCAACGTCTCAGGCGAAGCTGTCGCAGTTCATAAGAGAAGTTGTGCTCTGATCGAAACTTAATACGGAGATCACGATGATTGCATTCCCCTTCATACATACAGTACAGAGTTGAATGCATTTGCATATGACGTCACTTACCCACGTGCACTGCATATTGTAAAGCTATTTTTACGTAATGTTGAAAAGCATTCATATAAAGACGTTAATAAAAATATTTAGCGACTATGAAGAAAATGCTGTAATTTAAAAACAAGTTTACGTTGAAAGCATTTTTTCTTTACAACTTGTTTATAAATGTACGAAATTAAAGTCAAGGAACCGGTTCAATATATTTCTTATTTACTACGGTACTACACTAGTTTCCAGCTCTATTGCGAACAGAATACAAAATGAAACCTAGTGCTTAGACGAGGAATAAAGAATTGAATAATAGCATTGTCGAAATTCATTGCTGAAACTTATTGAATACATTGAAGTAAGTATCTGGGAAGGTAACAGACTAAAATAGAGCTGACTCGACGTTTTTCTTTCAATGCGTCAATCGCTGAACGGATTGTAACGAAACTTTTTGCGCAGTCATCTCTTAACTTAGGGCCTGTAGTTTTTTAATATTCGGTAATGGCTTTTAGCATTTAGTTTTTCCGTTCTGCATTTTAGTGAAGTTCCGGATTTTTTACCTCGTAATTTTTTTACGCCGTAAATATTTCACGGTACGATAATTCGCGATGCCCGCATGCAACTGCGGTTTGTGGCTTTATTTCGAAAAAGCCATAAAGCCACAAGCTTATGCGGTTCGTTGGATGCCCACTTTGTCGGTGAGGGCTGATGGCAATTACCGTACGTTTTGACAATTCTACTGGGTGGATTTTGGACTATTGTTTTGAATTGCTGGAGAATCAAAAAACAATAATTAAAAATTCATTTGGCCAAGTTTAAATACATACTATAATAAACCTTAGAAGAAAAATGTCGCCTTTTAAATTGGTAGGTATGCGCTTGTTAACCCTGATACTTATTATTACATTGTATAACTATCTATTACTTGTACACGCAATCTAGCCGTATTCATTAAATAATTGAGTTACAGATGGACTTCTGCTATTTTTATCATCCTCATTCGTAATGTAATTGGAATGTCTCGAAAGATAATCATAATTATGTTAAACTATCAAGTATAAAAAAAATAACTTTTTAATCCATTATGGTACTGGCACTGCACACTCATTAATGAGTCATATCCATGCAGTTGACTCAGGGTGATAATTACAAATTATATGAACAATAATATAATAACAATTAAAATAAAAAAAAAACATGTTCTTACCAAGTGTTCAGGCATGTTCCACTCTTCATACGTCCTGGCGGCCAACGCAAACACTTTCTCATTAATTATCTCTAAAGCAGTCAATGTTATTTTCTCTATACTAGCAAAATATCTATCAAATGCCCATCTTAGCTGCCAGTAGAGCTCTCCACGGCGCTCTTTACTCACTGAATGCACAATTTTAACTAAATTCTTTATATTGTCTTCCGGTACAAACAGTGCTAGTTTATTCCAATCAACATGCGAACTAAATGGCATCACTACGGAGTCCGCAATCACTACTGGTATACACTGAGAAGCAAGAATATCCATCAGTACAGCTTGAGCCAACCTCGCACTTCTTATAACTAAGCAGAACATCCCATCCTTCAGGACATTCGGGTAGTCAAATTGTCTACCCGTGGTGTACTCACACCGCTTACTGTAATCTGTTTTGTCAGTCTTACACCGGTCCAACAACAAGAGATCGTTGGACGAAGATGCAATGTTCTGTAATTCTTCTAAATAATTGTGTGGTATATTGAGCTGCGTTGATATTATAAGGTACTTCTTTTGTTCTGGTTGGGTGCTGTCGATTGTCTCTGCGACAGAACTGTACACTGGTATTGATACGTCAAAATTGTATCTAAATGTCCATGTGTTGAAGCCGGCTCCTGCTATAATAGCTCGGCTGGTGTTGAGATCCACCACGGAGTTGTAATTGGGTGCGGACCCTGGCAGCATGTTGAATATAAGGTGGTTTTCACCGTGGTTCCAACTGTTGAATAAAACATTTTATTAGTGAAGCGACAATGTTTATTTCATTAGGTAATTGTTGTTTTTTATTAGACTGATGTATGACACATGATATGTAGGAAGTGAAACAAAGTTATAAGTAATTAAACTGTAGTTTTATGACTTTGTATTCTTGCATTATTTGTTAATAAAATGTTCCTTAAATTTAATATAATTTTGACTGTTTTTAATAAACTAATTATCATCCTTTTCCTTTCTTTTATGTCACTTTGTTAAACAATTGCAGTAAATACAATTATCTTGAAACAGTACCTAGTTACTATCACAATTTAAAAACATCTCAATATTGTACTCACTATGAAATGTGACATTCAATATGGATGTTAGATGCATTTTAAGTATACTGGTAGCCTCATTGGCTATAAATAGAGTGACACAAGAGTGTGTTTGTATACAAATAGGTAAGCTTATCATTAGCTACTTACTATGGCAAAGACTGCAGCACTTGTGCGACATGTTTACTTGAGAAACTATGTTGATTCAGAGTATCTATACTAGGTACTAACAGGCACGCCTCCTCCGGGTCAGGCGTGTAATATTTACTACGTTTTATAGTATCTAATATCATATAAAATTCTTTAGAAAATCTTGATATAGAATTCCCATTTTCAGTCTGATAGTCTTTTAATGGATATATGTATATTGTTATCTTGTTGTGTCCGCCTTTTCCACATCTGTACACATCGACGCAGTCCCAGTAAGTGCAGTTGGAGACACGAGGATGCGCCTCCAGAGCACTACTGCTGATTTTAACCACTTCAAAACTTGTCGAGTCCAAATTCACAGCTTGATACACATCTATCCGCGTCGCACTACCAGAAAACGTATTAAACACCACAGTAAACACTAAAGATACCACTATAAACAAGAGTAGGCCGACGAAGAACCTATGATACAAGATTTTTCTATACGATATATATTTCGAATGCTTGCCCGTTTTCAGAAGCGATTCCGCAGCCATTTGTAATTTCGAGGATTAAATTAATCTCCTTAATTTATATATGGCACCCATTATTAGGTAAGATCAATTAATTCTCATTCAAAAATCCATCAAAGTATAAAACACGATAATACTGCTTGCGAAGAGAAACTGACGCAGTGAAGTGATTGACAGGCTGCTGGTAGGCAACTAGTGTTGTGCTATTTGATAACATATGATATTTCGATTACGCACTTTAGGAAACGGTTATCGAGAAATCAAAGTATTTTATTTATTCTAATAAAATGTTAGCATTAATTATAGGTACTATTAAGATAAGCAACTTTAAAAGAAATTATTCATAACTAGCTGTGCCCGCGACTTCGTTCGCGTAGAATAGTGACTATGAGCAGCGTTTTTTTTTTAGATTTGGATCATAATCACAGTCATTTTACTGTAATGCTTCTCTACTAGTAAAGTATATATAGTAATGCTTCTCTATATACAATATTAGACGTATGGCCATCGGGGGTGAAAGCATACAGGCTGCTGGGATTGCTAACACGGGACAGAGCCACATACAATTGACCGTGCGAAAAACAGCTGATACTTAGATCTATACCCACAACTTTTAGAGTCTGACCTTGAGCTTTATTAATTGTCATGGCGAAACATAGGCTCACTGGAAACTGAATTCGTTTAAAATTAAACGGAAAATTTTTTGGAATGAGAGGAATCTGAGGAATAAAACCACTATCACCTTTTCCGCACCCTGTTAAATATATATATATTTATAAGCCATTTCTGAGATTAGCGTGAACAGACAAACAGACAAACAGACAAAAAAAAAGTTAGTTACATTTTTGGGTTCGACATCGACATAACAATAGCCCCTGCTATTTTTTTTATTTTTATTTTCAATGTACAGACAGCACTTTTCTACAATTTTATTATATGTATAGATTAACATCCTAGGTAAGGTTGGAAATGTATTGCAGTTCATCAATTCTGTTAAGTTCTTCGCTTTACTCTGAATAGTCTGAATTCAATGATATAATGGTAATTTTTAGCTAGTATGTCTAATATTATACAATAGTGTCTCCCATCTAGCCATAGATTCCCAAAACAATAAAAATATTGGACTCTTTATAAGCCTTGTGTTACTTCATATATTTTTTTAAATATTAGAAAAAATATTAACGTTTTCGACCGGTCTCACTAATCGATATTTGATTAGTAGAGACTTGAGAAAAACTGAATTTTGACATAAGTTCCAAATAAATGGTATTTAGCAATTTTTTCAAAATAACTTCGCACCTAACCTATCCATTACATGCAAATAAGTCTTTGAATTTTTTAATAAGGCTACTTTTTATTATTCAATAGATTGTTCACTGAACAATCTTTTCAGAATTTATAAACAAACACACAATATCTAAACTATTGATTTTTACAGCGATTAATTATTTTTCTTTTTTACAAATATTTATTATTCTTTACACGAGAATGTAATCATCTATTCTTACCGTCTATAACTTTAAATCTAATTGTTTTTGATACTTTTATAAATTGTGTATAAATTTAATATCGATTGAAAATATTCACAGCTGCGATTCGATCAGGATACCTAGCGTGTCACGTCCTTGTGTAGCACAGACTAAAAAACAGTGACATTTTATTTGTAATGCTTACGTTCAAATACTTAAAGAGGAAAATATACACAATAAAATTATTGAAATAAATGTAACCGTAAAAAATAAGACATAATTTTCACATTGAAAACATTCCGCTGAAATTCATAATACCTATGATTTTTGTAATATTTCCAGTTTCAGTCAGTCATATAGTCTGATTTAACAATCTGATAATTTTGTGTATTATACAATTAAGGTTCCGAACGCAACCGATTGTTACGAAGTGAACTTTTTTGTTTTTCTGTCAGTTTTGTGTTGTGCGTAGTTGTGGTTGAGTTTCTGATGGCTTGATTAATTTTGTTATTATTTTATTTTACCAATTCCAACAAATAATTTTGTTCCGAGCTTGACCAGATATGGCGCTGTTACCTCCAGACCCTGTTTATACGATCAGGAACGTGGACAACGTTCCTGTTTATTCGTTGGCATTTAGCTTTTTGCCTGGCGGTCTCGAGAGGTTACTAGCCGGCTCAAAAAACGGCTACGTTTATGCATACAACCTTCAGGTAAGATCACATACATATTTCAAAAGATTTTGTAGTTACAAACAACTGCGCAGAAGGCGTTAATGACGTGTCCTATGGCTTCCATTTAGTGCGCAACATTTTTGTTTACTACCCTCGATTCGCGACCTAGAATCGGGCGAACCGTTTGCCAAATCAAAACATTAACGTATTTATTCTATTTTATTAGGTCATTGAACCTTTCTGGTTGGATATTATGTAAAAGAGAATATTTCCAATCGAAATTCTATTTTAATGTTTTGTGTTAAGATATATTATTGGTTAACACTTTATTAGTAGTCATTTTTATTAAAATTTCCAACTAAAAAACTTGTTCCAACACATAAAAAATCGATTACTATTATTATCAATATCAAATTACAATTGATATTGAGTGTAATTAAAAAACTAATGAACAACATTTTCAAATTTTTTGTCAAGTTCATTGTGTGTGATCAGATTTCTAATTAGATTAGTCTTATACACAAGGAGAACAATAGAAGCTCACTAACTTTGCACATAAATTAATATTACTACAATACAGTAAATTAAATAAAAATGTCTAAAAATTATTAACATGAATCAATGAAAATGGAGGTACTAAGTAAAAAAACTTGATGTTTTCAGACAAATCGTGTGCAGCAGAAAATCCAAGTTGGTCAAGCTCCAATTCTTCATCTTATTCACACAGATAATCATCTCATCACGCAGGAGAAAGGCGGCAAGTTTAAAGTCTTTAGTTTAACAAACTCTGGCTATGAGGAAGACGCACTTATTGACATTGATTACCCTGGTTTCTGCCGTTTTGACGCCAACACAAAACTCGAAGCACTTTATGTACCTGACAAGGATTCTAAAATTCATATTTACAACTTTTCTGGAGAAAAAGGAGGATGTTTGGAGCCTGATGCATCACTGAAGCTGGGAGAACCAATGTGCTTGAAGTTCATCGAATTTCCTTGCGATCGGCCTTGCTTGCTGGCTGGATACGAAGCAGGATGGCTCCTCCTGTGGGATCTCAACACTAGTCAATGTATCAGCAAGCTGAAGACCAACGAGTGTCCGATGTCAGTTGATTTCCACCTTGAACAGCAAAGAGGCATGATTGGGAATGCCTCAAATGTGATACAGATCTTTAGTATAGGGAGAAAAGACTTAAGCTTGGCTCACAAGTTGGATATAACAATAAAGAACCCAGGTACAAACAAAGTTCAGACCCGGTCAGATGGAAAGGTGTTTGCTTCTGGAGGTTGGGATGGCAATATTCGAATTTTCTCCTGGTTCTCTCTCCGACCTCTGGTAGTATTGACAGAGCATAAGCAAGCTGTACAAGATGTTGTTTATTCTACTGAGAAGGTCTCATTCTGGAATGCGAAGATAATGGCTGCCGGAGGACTTGATGGTGCTATTACACTGTGGGATTTGTATAATGCCAAACAGTAAAGCATTTAACTTTTTATAGTAGATTATAGAATATTACCAAGCTCAGATCGTGGTAACGCCGAAAACATGTATACTTACGAAAGCATTCTAGTCAAACTTAGAATGTATGGCCACAGTACTTTTCACTAGTTTCGGGTGTTTACTGCATCTGACCTGTTAGTGTTTCTGGTTTCACATGAGTACAGTATCGTAAACTAGGCGTAATGTAGTCCATTGTGTACTCGGTTTAAATCAACTTGCTTACTTAGTTACTAAAGTAAGGCTAAGGTTCTACTCTAGTGCACCAGGATGCGACAGGTTAGCTTGAGCGCGGTGATATATTTTCCCAGTTGACAATTTGCTTAAGTTTGATTCCATAGTCTTCTAAAAAGGAGTACTTACAAAGTAATGCCAGTATTGCCTTTAATTGTTATGACGCATGTAATGTGTATCATCCGAATGTGCTTTAATTATTTGAAGATATAATTTAACAGAATGCAATAATGTATAATAATGTAATGTTGAAATGATTGGATCTCAAGAATGTACAAATTCCTGAATATGAAGGTACAGTCCACCATGTGTGGCCTCGCTATTAGTTGTAAGAACATGTTGTTTAATGAATAGCAATCAATATTTTCCATGATTGGTTTTTAGCGATGATTTTTAAGTCGAGACATTAAAAGCCTATAATTTTTCTTGGAGAATTTTATTTATTGTGTCATTCCACGCATCACACGGCAGTACAGTAACATCGCCTTAGAGTTTTGCACCTGAATCTACATAAATGAATGATTCATTATTTTCCAGTGAATTGAAACATCTGTTTTTCAGAATGTCTGAAATGTTGATACCTAATGAATATAAGTCGCATCTATGAAGTTGTACACGCTTTATGGCATTCTACTTACACGCAATACATTTGGTGTTAAAAGATCAATATTTATGATAATAACCGCGTGTAATATTACAATGTACCTACGTAGTTGGTTTAATGTTTATCTTCTCCAAACAAGTTGTTGATCGACATGTGTTATGGGTCTCGCGTAGTAACGAGCTTATTGGAACTAGTGTACCCGGTCGGTACTATACCTTGAAATAAACTGTTATACTTGACCTCACTCAGGAATGGAACGTTCTTCTCTGTATCCGTATTTACCATTACCGAAGCAATAAAAAGTAAATGAAATGCTTGATAAGATTCAGAGATCCTCCACGCGATTCAACCCAGGAAGCAATAATAAGGTACCTTGATACCTGAATCTACCCAGGTAGGTACTTGCCTACATTGTTTACGAAAACATATTTATTAGGTGTAGGTAGGTAGGTAAATGATAGTAGATAGGTGCTATCGTACCGGATGAACAAAACAATTACAATGCTGTGCTGAAAACAAGACACTTTTTTCACACTACATTCAAGCAAATTAAAAAATAAACGCAATATTTACGTTATTATTTTAAAATGTCCTCATTTTTCTATTGTTATGTCTAGTACTCGGTTTACTATGTAAGTAGATCATAGCTCAACATTGTCTGACCTATGCCATCCGATGTTAGACTCACTATCATACTGAAAGGCTCGTGAGCTCGTCCATCAATATCAAAACAAGAGATATAAATACCAACACGATAACAGAATGTTGTTCAATATTTTCACCAACGATTATTATCGTTTAACACGAACCAATAAAACAAAACGTTAGAGTAGTAATATTTTTATTTTACATACATTGAAAGTAATAAGTTACTAATATCACATTTACAGTGCGCCCTAAAACCTAAGACATAAAATTTAATAGCATCTTACAACTAAAGACTAGCAACCTGAAAGTATAATGAACTCTGTTCGGATTATCATGCGTTTGTGATATGTATCAGAGAATAATGGGATTATTTGAAATCTACGTTTAAACTTCAACTATTTTCCTCGTCTTTGGAATGAGCGCTTCGTCATCTGTCGACACCTCCACCAGTCTCCGCCGTTTCCGCAACGGCCGTGTGGATTCTGACGGTTCTCTACTCTTCGCTACTATTTTCGCCATTTTATTCCCCAATCTGGTGATCTTGAACTTGGGCAAAGTCTGCTCCGGGTTTCCAGTCTCATTTATCTCTGTATCCATTTTATCTTCTTCTATGCGCTCATTATGTTGTTCACTAGGAGGAGGGCTCTTATCTAACGCAGTCTCTGAGTTCGGCTCACTACCACATCCCAATGATTCCTCGTCTCTCCTGTTTTTATCACTATTCATTGTAAAATCTAAAGGTCCTTCCGTGTCTGTTGTGTCTGGTCTATTCTCAGTTTTCACTTTATTCGCGCAGTGAGCCTGGACGAACGCTGACAAAGGAATCGGAATCGGAATAGGAAGGGGTATCGGTAAAATGACTGGGTAGGGGACTAATACTGTGACGGGAGGAGCTTGGCCTATAGGAGTTGGGAAGTTTAGCGGTGGTGGAATTCCTGGCAGGCGAGGCCTCTCCATTGGGAACCCTGGCCGAGGCATGAAGTTCAGTCGCGGTGGGAACATGTTATGTGGGAGCCTGGGATCATGGTTGTCCAAGAACATCGGTGGGGGCATGTTGAACATTGGATTTGGAGGAAATGGTGGCGGTGGAGGATGCGCGTTAATCTGATGAGGCGGCGAATGTAGAGCGTTACCAACAGTTGATGCTGGTGACGATCCGTCAGATGGACTGCACATCCGAAGATCCTGCGCCTTCGGGGTTGAAGTTCGCTGTCGCACAGTCTGTGACGTAACCGTGGCTGAACACTTTGAGGTTCTACGTTTACGTAGATTCATTTTAGTATTCCTAGCGTCTTTTTTCGTTTCTGGTGACTTCTGAACTGGTATCGTTTCATCAGACGGACGTTTTTGCTTCATCAGCTTCGCTGTTGGAGCAATGGTTATCAAAGGAAGTGGAGATCTGTTTTGGGTTTTTTGAACTTCTGTCTTTTCAGTCATGGCTGGTTTGCTAGGGACATTGTCTAAATTTGGCGATCCCGAGCGTTCCGATGTGGGTGATGCAGATCTACTCTTGCAGTTCTTGAGCCAGAGTTCAGGAGTGATGAGATTGGATGACGATGACGCATTGACTAGATGTGGATTAAGGTCAAGGTGGGCCTGTGTCTCTCGGCAGAAGATGTGCATCTTGTATTGATTAAGACATTTGTCCGAGCAGAACTGGAGTTGTGTGGCACCGTCCTGGAAATTGAGAGAAAGTAAATATTAGATTTAGAATCAATTACATATTGGCACGTTACGTGTATTATTTATACTAACAGATATCTGAAATGTAGGTACTAGCTTTACCACATATTCGAGTACATAAATTTGTTAAGTTTAAATCTGTGATTCTCACCTGAAAATCAACATAAGCGACAGTATGTCTGACGTGACGACACCAGTCGCAGGTCTTGGCACGTTTGAAGTTGGCGCGACGCGACTGACTGAAGCAGAGCTCGGAGCAAAATGTGGCGCCTGCATGCTGGAGCGCTGAGCCTTCGCTGGGGAGACTCTTGTTGCACCAGGAACATTCATCAGCTGGAAATACGAAGAAGTAATTGTTAATTAAATTGCTATTGTCGTGAATCGAGTTTCTTGCTTTAAGTTACTTTTGAGTTTAAAGTTGCTTTGTCGCATTAGATATAGGTACCTAGATAGAAAAGTTTTGACTACAAGTTGGGCATAGTGCCTACGCTGCTGCGTAACGCAATATGTTGCAGGTTTGATACTCAACTAGAAGTTGTTGCGGGTCGTACAGTAAGAGCCTGACACTCCTTCTCGCCTAACCAAAGGCGAAAGAAGCCATTGGATGATTTTGCCCCCTCAAAAAAAGTACTCAATATACTCAATACTCAATACTCAAAACGTTTATTGCTCAAGTCTTAAGTTGCTGCACAAATGCAACAGGCATTTGGCTCATTGAACACAATGTATCTATCTAATCTTAAACATAACAAAACTGTTGTTATAAATATAGTATAGTATTTTTCAATACACTCCGATAGACACTTCAATAAACAGTACGACGAAATACCATATACCCAGTAAAGAAACAGTAGTGACCAAACCATTACCAACGCACTGTAGGTACCTACAAAAAAAGCGACCAAAAATAACTTAGCTAATTGAAATAAAAGTTGCAACCGTTGATATTGTAATGGAAATGTTGCCATAAAAAATGCTTTTCTGGAAACAGTAAGCGAGGCTCGGGTATCCATCTCCAATTAATTTGCGAATGATATTGAATAGAGAAAAAACGCTCGAAACTGTACACTGGCTTTCTCATTACTGCGATTCGTTTATAACCTTATACAGGACGAGTAAATGATAGCTCGTTATACTTTATTACAGACCTTAATAATTTCCGTTGTTCCAAATCTACTTTTATGAAATTGATAGGTACGTATCTTGTTAATGGTTTTTCAGGATTTGTGTCATACAAACAAATATTAAGGGTCGGCCAGACGCATGTAATGCCCCAAGTGTTGCAGCCGTACATAGGCCACGGTAACCGCTTACCATCAGGTGAGCCGTGTGCTTTTTTGCCACCATCGTGGTAAAAAAATATACCTACACTTTTGGATTGGTGATAGTCTATATCTATACTAATATTATAAAGAGGAAAGATTTGTATTTTTGTATGTTTGTAATGAAAAAACTCAAAAACTACTGGACCGATTGCAATAATTTTTTCACCATTAGAAAGCTGCATTATTCAGAAGTAACATAGGCTATATAATACCACGCTAGGTCCTATAGTTGTGGAGCAGTAACCAAAAATGTTTTAAAAACGGGGGAAAAGTATCGTTTCTGACGCCTTCCGTGGCGTGCGCTGAGCATATAGTTAAAGTTATACAAAAATGCTCTATAGATGAATTGTTCATAAATACCTAAATGAAATAAGTAAATGAAGTCCGGAAAAATATTTTCAAAAGGTAAATAAGTACTTCCTAAATAAAAAAAAACTGAGAATAAATATACCTAAATAAAACGTAAAACTATGAAAAAATCTTAAGTCCCCCCGTGCGAAGCCGGGACGGACCGCTAGTTCAGAATAAATTCAGAAGATGTATCTTCTGAATTTATTCTGAACTGAACTGAACTTATAGCCAGCTGTACTGGCTATCCTTTTTAATAGTAGATTAGTGCCCGTAGTGCCCAATTAACTTTAATAATACCTACATAGGTATATGCCACCTCCTTCAGCATAAAATATTCAAATACTTATCAATAATTGTGAAGGCTACAAAATCAATGACACAAAATCATGGGTCTACTTAAGTAAGTAAGCGAAAATCAGCACCGCGACTCGAGCACTCGCGCTAATTAATAACTATTTTTTTTGTTTAATTTTTGTTTAAATCGGTGCAAATAAACTGATTTTCTTTCTTCTTGTTTCTTTCTTTTTATCTGCCTTTAACCTAAGGTCGATAGGTATAATGGAGAGTTACAATTTCAATGAATTTATAGCAAAGAGTACCTAAATTCCCTAGAATATCTCGGCGGGAGTGCTACTTCGTTCTAAATTGACGCGTGTGTTTAGCAGTCTATGTAACGTAATCTCGTAACGTTATACATTCCTAATCATCACAATTTAACCACAAAGTTCTACATTTTCACTTGCGGCACACCTACATAGGTACCTGTTTATACTACGTATTCGCGGGGCGTTCATTAGGAATAGTAAACCGGCTTT